GCAGAGGAGTGCAATAGGTGCGCAAGCCTCAGTGAACCTGGAGCAGGCCTCAGAGGACTGAGTCGTGGGCAGCTGTGACAGATTCCAGACTTCTCAACCCAGGAATGCCAAAGACAACTTAGCAGGTCAGAGGGAAAAGTCTGTTTCTGCTGTGAGAGAGGAGCTAGGTCTCAGAGCCAGTTCCAGAGCACAGAGTGTGAGCCCCAGGGCAGTGGCTCTGTCCTGAACTTCCGGCCCACAGACTGAGGGGGAATTGGGTGGTGGCTCAGAGGGGGATTGCAAGGATCTGCTTGCCAGTGCTGAGGCAAGAATTCTTCCTTGGCCCGTGCTTCAATCTGGGTCACAGTTCTGGGCGGGCGGTGGAGGAACACTGGCGTGGTGGAGCTTGTAGTTGCTGTAGAGGGGAAATCGCCCTCAAAGTTCCAAGACAGAAAAGACTGCTTGTGGTCACTCATAGACCAGGAAAGGAGTAAACACCTCGCCCCTTATCATACCACCTTGGAAGATTTGAAAGTTTACAGGTTCCTACAAGTATATCTGAAAACAGCTGTACAAACCCCCAAAACGTGGGACACTACATTCTCCACATTGGAAACAGACTCTTACCTTAACAAAGAGTTTGAAACTCAAGTCATTGTCTGGGATCATGAGCAAACCTCAACAAAAGAGACAGACTATATCATCCTAATTTGGTGACAAAGAAGATCAAAACATACAACCAGAAGAAGACAACAAAGTCAGAGCTCCTACATCCAAAGCCTCCAAGAAAAATAGGAATCAGTCCCAGGCCTTGGAAAAGCTCAAAAGGGATTTTGAGAAGCAAGTAAGAGAAGTTGAGGACAAACTGAGAAGAGGAATGAGAGTGATGCAAGAAAATCATGAAAAACAAGTCAACAGCTTGCTAAAGGAGACAACCCAAAAATTGAAGAAAATAACACTTTAAAAAATAGCCTAACCCAAATGGCAAAAGAGGTCCCAAAAGCCAATGAGGAGAAGAATGCCCTAAAAGCAAAACTGGACAAGTGGAAAAGGAGGTCCAAAAGATTACTGAAGAAAATACTTCCTTAAAAATTAGAATAGAGCAATTGGAAGCTAGTGACTTAATAAGAAAGCAAGACACTGTAAAACAAATCCAAAAGAATGAAAAATTAGAAAACAACATGATATATCTCATTTCAAAAAAACAACTGACCTGGAAAATAAGTCCAGGAGAGAGAATTTTAAACTTATTGGACTATCTGAAAGCCATGACCAAAAAAAGAGCCTAGCCATCATCTTGGGAGAAATTATCAAGTAAAACTACCCTGATATTTTAGAACCAGAGGGAAAATAGAAATTGAAAGAATCTACCAATCTCCTCCAGAAAGAGATCCAAAGGAAAATTCCTAGGAACATTATAGCCAAATTCCAGAGTTCCCAGCTCAAGGAGAAAATATTGCAAGCAGCCAGAAAGAAAAATTCAATTATGTGGAAACACAATCAGGATAACACAAGATTTAACAGCTTCTGCATTAAAGGACCACAGGGCATGGAATATAATATTCCAGAGGGCAAAGGAGATAGGATTACAACCAAGAATCACCTACCCAGCACAACTGAGTATAATCCTTCAGTGGGAAAAATGGTCATTCAGTGAAATAGAGGACTTTCAAGCATTTTGAATAAAAAGACCATAGCTGAATAGAAAATTTGACTTTCAAATACAAGACTCAAGTGGAACATGAAGAGGTAAACAGGAAAGAGAAATCATAAGAGACTTATTAAGGTTGAACTGTTTACATTCCTGCATGAAAAGATATTTATAACTCATGAGACCCTTTGTTAGTATTAGGGCAGCTGGAGCAAAAAAAATATTTGTATGGAGAGAGAGAGAGAGGGCACAGGGTGAGTTGAAGATGAAGGGGTCATATCTGGAGAATAGAATTAAGGGATGAGAGAGGTTTATACTAGGAGAAGGAGAAAGGGAGAGGTAGAATGGAGTAAATTATCCCAAAAAAAACAGTAAAGAAAAGGCTCATACAATGGAGGGGAAATGGAGGAAGGTGAGAGGGAATGAGTGAGTCTTATTCTCATAGGATTTGGCTTAAGGAAAGAATAACATACCCACCAATGGGGTACGGAAATCTGTCTTACCCTATAGAAAAATGGGGGTGGGGGGAGAAGAGAGCAGGGGATGATAGAGAAGAGGGCAGATTGGGAAAGGGGTAATCATAAGCAAATACTTCTGAGGAGGGACAGGGTCAAAAGAAAGAATAGAATAAATGGGGGTTACAGGATAGGATTAAGGGAAGTAGACTTAGTGTTTCACACCATGTCTATTATGGAACTGTTTTGCATAACTGCACACGTGTAACCTATATTGAGTTGCTTGCCTTTTCAATGAGGGTGGGTGGTGGGGGAGAATGGGAGAAAATTGGAACCCAAAGTTTTAAAAACACATGTGAAAAATTGTTTTCACATGCAACTGGGAAATAAGAAATACAAGAAATTACGTACAGAAATCTATCCTGCCCCACAGGAAAATAGAAGGGGAAGGGGATAAGAGAAGGGGGGAGAGATAGAAGAGAGGGCAGACTAGGGAAGGATATTCAGAATGCATGCCATCTTCACATGGGGGAGGGGCGAGATTGGATGAAAATTTGGAACTCGAAATCTTGTGGAAGTAAAAGCTGAAAACTTAAAGTAAATAAATGTATTTTTTTAAAAAGTAAACTAGAAAGAAAAGAACAACATGTTATTAATAAGAGCAAATTGTTTACATCCCTACAAGGGAAGATGACACTTGTAATTCTTGAGAACTGCGTTGTTATTATGACATTTAAAAGGGATATACATAGACAGAGGATATGGGTATATGTAGACTTTGATGTGATGATAAAAAAGTATAATGAAGTGACGAAAGGACATTGTACCAGGAGAGAGGAAAGGAAGAGGCAGACGAAGATAAATTGCATCACATGAAAACGCTCAAAAACCTATTAGAGTAGAGGGAAAGAAAGGAAGGAGATGAGCATGGTTTCAGCATCAGATTTGGATCAAAATGGGAATAACATTATCAATTCACTATAGAAATCTAACTTACTTTGTAGGAAGTGGGAGGGGAAAGAAAAAATAAAAAGGAAGCAGTGAATAGAAGGGAGGGAGGAAGTATTAAGGGTAAAGGGGAAGAAAATAGAAGTGGCTGAGAGAAGAGAGGGCAGCCTGAGGGAGGTGGTGGTCAAAAAAGAACTCTAGTGAGGAGGGAAATGGAGAAAGGAGAGAGAAAAACATAAACAGGGGAGAAATAAGATGGAGAGAAAGACACAGATAATAATTATGACTGGGAATGTGAATGGGATGAACTCTCCTACAAAATGGGAGGAGATAACAGAATGGATTAAGCCCACATATATGTTGTTGTATCCTACAATATGTTGATTACAATAAACACATTTCAAGCAGAGGGATATGCAGAGTAAAGGTAAAAGGCTGGAGCAGAATATATTATGCTTCAGCTGAAGTAAAAAAAAAAAGCAGGGGTAGCAATCCTTATCTCAGACAAAGCAAAAGAAAAAATAAATCTAAATAAAGGAGATAAGGAAAAAGACTACATCTTGCTACAAGGTACATAGATAATGAAGTAACATCATTACTAAAAATACATGCACCAAGTGGTATAGCATCCAAATTCTTAGAGGAGAAGATAAGGGAGTTAAAGGAGGAAATAGATGACAAAGCTATACAAATGGAGGACCTCAACTTCTCCCTCTCATAACTAGATAGATATAACCACAAAATAAACAAGAAAGAAGTCAAGCAAATGCATAGAATTTTAGAAAAGTTACATGTGATTGACCTCCGGAAAAAATTGGAGAGAGAAAGGACAATACCTTTTTCTAGGCAGTACATGGCACCTACACAAAAATTGACCATGTAACAGGGCATGAAAACCTCAAAATCCAATGCAGGAAGGTAGAAAATATTAAATGCATCCTTTTCAGATTATAATACAGTAAAAACTATGTGTAATAAAGGGCCATGGAAGGATAGACAAAAATTAGTAGTCTACTCCCAAAGAATGAGTGGGTGAAAAAACAAATCATAGAAACAATCAATAACTACATCTAGGATAATGACAATAATGAGACACATTACAAACTTATGGGATGTGGGAAAAGCAGTTTTTGAGGGACGTTTTATGTCCCTTAATGTTTACATGAATAAAATTAAGAAAGAAGAGATCAATGAATTAGGCGTTCAAGTAAAAAGACCTAGGAAAAACACATTAAAGATGTCCAATTGAATACCAGATTAGAAATACTAAAAACCAAAAGAGAAATTAAGAAATTTGAAATTGAGAAAACTATTGAAGTGTTAAATAAAACTAACAGCTGGTTTTATGAAAAAATCAATAAAATAGACAAACCTTTGGTTAATTTATTTTAAAAAAAGAGAAAAAAGAAAATCAAGTTAACAGCATTAAAAATGAAAAGGGTGAATTCAACAATAATGAAGAGGAAATCAAAACAATAAATTGGAGTTATTTTGCCCAACTGTATGGCAATAAATTTCACAATTTTAGTGAAATGGATGAATATTACAAAATATAAATTGCCCAGATTAAAAGAAGAGGAAATAAAATACTTAAATAGCCTCATTTCAGAAAAAGAAATTGAACAAATCATCAACGAACTCCCTAGGAAAAATTCTCCAGGATAGATGGATTTACAAGTGAATTCTTTCAAATATTTCAAGAACAATTAATTCCAATACTACATAAACTATTTGGGAAAGTAGGTGAAGAAGGAGTCCTACCAAATTCTTTTTATGATGCAAATATGGTGCTGATATGTAAACCGGGAAGAATCAAAACAGAGAAAGAAAATTATAGACTAATTTCCCTAATGAATACAGATGCAAAAATTTTAAATAAGATATTAGCAAATAGATTACAGTAACTTATCACAAGAATAATACGCTATGACCAGGTAGGATTTATACCAAGAATGCAGGGCTGGTTCGATATCAGAAAACTATCACCATAATTGACCAAATCAACAACAGAACTAAGAGAAACCACATGATTATCTCAATAGTTGGGGAAAAGGAGCTCCTGTGCCGGCTGCTGGGGGTGGCCATGGCGCCGCTTCTGGAATGCGAGAGACAGCTGGTGCTGGAGCTGTTAGAAGCGGATGGGCTGGTGGTGTGTGCCCGCGGGCTCGGTGCAGACCGGCTCCTCTACCACTTCATCCGGCTGCACTGCCACCCGGGGTGCCCGGTGCTGGTGCTCAACACTCAGCCGCAGAGGAGGAGTATTTTATCAATCAACTGAAGTTAGAGGAAGTTGAACACCTTCCTCGACTTGTGACAAATGAAATTGCAAGTGGAAGTAGACATGAGGTTTATACCCAAGGTGGTGTCCTATTTGTAACAAGTCGAATTCTTGTGCTAGATTTCTTGACAGACAGAATTCCTTCAGATTTGATTACTGCCATCTTGGTCTATAAAGCTCACAGAATCATAGACTCTTGTCAGGAAGCCTTTACCTTGCCTCTCTTTCATCAAAAAAATGGACACGGTTTCATTAAAGTTTCCTCAGATAACGCTGTTGCCTTTCATACTGGCTTTTGTCACGTGGAAAGAGTAATGAGAAATCTTTTTGTAAGGAACTTATACTTGTGGCCAAGGTAAATTGCCGTGTTATGTGGCATATTTTTATGATTACTACTATCTGCTATAATCAGGTGTATAATAACCATTTTACATGTAGGTTTTGCATGATATTGTTACTGTTGAACGTGCCAGCTAGAACATGGAGATAGGAATCTGTAGTCTATACAGTTATAATACTTTGGTAACATGGAGAGAGTTTGTTTGACAGGTCCCTGTTGTTTTCCACCAAAATTACGCTCAGGGGGCTTGAGAACTCTTTTAATTTTCTTTAAAACCTTGCATGGGACCTTTAGATTCATGGAGGCCAAAATAGAGGAAACATTATATGTAATGGGGATAAACTAGAAGCATTTCCAATAAGATTGAGGGTGAAAAAAGATGTCTATTGTCACCAATGTTATTCACTATCTTAGAATATTAGCTTTAACAATAAGAGAAGAAAAAGAAATTGAAGGAATTAAAATAGGAAAGGAAGATACAAAGCTATTACCCTATGCAGGTGATATGATGGTATACTTAGAGAATCCTAGAGAATCAACTAAAAAATTTCTTGAAATAATAAACACATTCACCAAAGTTGCAGGACATAAAATAAGCACACATAAATCATCAATATATCTATATATTACTTATAAAGCCCAACAGCAAGAGATAGGAGAAATTCCATTTAAAGTTACAGTAGACATTAAAACATTTAGAAGTCTACCTGCCAAAAAAAATCAGGAACTATCATCAGTGGATTTGAGACCTGTCAGTTACCATCAATCTGGTTTAGCCCATCTGCCTAGATGGGTTTACTGGGGTGTGGCTGCTGTCCACCCTACAGCTTCAACTGTTCAGTAAATGATGAACTGAATAAGCAAAATCTTGGAAGGTGGAAGTGCAGGACATACTAAGGAATAATAAGTAGTCCATCTGGGCTGGACATGTATAGGGGACAGTAAGCCTAGAAAGGAAGCATAAGGTTAGAAGACCTTGAATTCTAGGTTAAGCAGTTTAGACATTATTCAATAAACAATAGGGAACCACTGAAGATATTCCAGGGCAGTAGCATTATCAGAACCGCAGATTAGGAAGATAGGGGTAGCAGTAATATGAAGGATGTGATGAGGAAGGAGAGAATAAAAGTTGGAAGAACAGATCTCCCAGTCTCTCCATCAATCCTCTCTCCTATCATAATCTACTCAAATACTATCTATCCTGTTCTACCAGGTCACCATCAACTGCCCCAGTGATCACAAGGGACCCTGCAACATAGTTGAGTTCTCAGCAACAGGGCTGACAAGTAAAGCCACATGACTCATCCTGACAAGTTTGGGGTCCAAAGTAGACATAGATACATGACATAGTATTTATAGATGTAGAATGTAGCAAAAGGTAAATACCACAAAATAACAAAGAATAATCATCTATAATTTTCTTTATCCTCCCTGTTAGAGTCAATACCAGTCAAGGATACCAAAAGAATTGCAGAAATCATTACTTTTCTGTATCCCTCCCTATACAAAACTCACGGAATTACATTTCCACCTCTTAGTTTTGCTACTCTCTCCTCTCTTCATTCTGGTTAATAAATAGAATGTCTGGATAATAAATAATCCTGAGCCTCCTGAAGGCTCCACATGAATGCTCTGAAGGAGATTGGCCAACATGACAAAACAGGAAAATGGTAAATGTTGAAAAAGATGTGGGAAAATTGGAACACTATTCCACTGTTGGTGGAGTTGTGAAATGACCCAACCATTTTGGAGAACAATTTGGAATTATGCCCAAAGGGCTACAAAAACATGCATACCCTTTGATCCAGCAATAGCACTTCTAGGGCTATATCCCAAAGAGATCATACAAATGGGAAAAAGACCAACATGTACAAAAATATTCCTAGCAGCTCTTTTTGTGGCATCAAAGAACTGGAATTTGAGAGGATGCCCATCAATTGGGGAATGGCTAAGCAAGTTGTGGTATATGAATGTAATGGAATACTATTGTGCTATAAGAAAGGATGAACAGGCTGACTTCAGAAAAACCTAGAAACACTTATATGGTCTGATGCTGAGTGAAGTGAGCAGAACCAAGAGGACTTTGTGCACAGAAACAGCCACTTATGCGATGACTAGTATTGTTAAACTGGACCCTTCTCAGCATTATAAGGATCTAAGACATCTCCTGAGGCCTCGGGACAGAAAATGCTGTCCACATCCAAAGAAAGAACTATGTAAGTCAGATGGGTTTCACTTATTTTTACCTTCTGTTGAGTTTTGTTTCATCTTTCTGATGGTTCCTCCTATTGGTTTCAATTTTTACTTACAACATCACTAAAGTGATAATGGGAATATAAATGTATAGCCTATATCAGATTGTGTGCTGTCTTGGGGAGGTGGGGGGGCAGGAAGAGGGAGAAAAATTTTCAACTCAAAAGCATATGGAAGTGATTGTTAAATCAAAATAAAGTAATACAATTTAAAAAAAGAGAATGCTCTGAAGGAGGGAGATTGTGTGCTGGGCTGTATCACTGTGTTATTGTACTAGTAGTAGTTGTTACTGTATACCACAGTGATAGATCTCCAATCAAAAACTCAACTAATCCAAGCCCTGAGCTCTAATGCATCCTGTGTCAGTGATCTTTTTTTCCCCCTGGGAGATTTACAGTCGAGTTTTTGTGCAGATGGTAGCATGGGTGTAACAAAACCTAAAACTTCCCTAGACAGAAACCTCCTTCTACCCACACTCCTCAGAGTTTTCTTTATGGCAAACTGTGAAGAATTTATTCACACAAAGAGCTTTTGCTAGAGGTGTACACACACCAAAGAAACCTGTTCTGGCCTCAGACCTGTCAGTCAGTTAGGAGGCTATCTATCCAAAGCATTTGAAGATTTCCACCAGTAGAATTGGTGGATGAGAACAGTTAGTTCTGAAGTCCATGAAGGCAGGTGAAGTAGGTCCTATGAAGTGCTCAGAGGTTGGTCAGATATCAAAAACACTAAGGCTATCCACTACATCTCAGGCCATCACCACTGGTCTTGACTTTTTTCTTGCCACTGGAGTTCTATGACTCTGGAAGAGAATGTAAGACTGAAATTTTTCTGAACTCTGCCTCACTTAAATTCAATTTACAAACAAATCAATACACCCTGTGATGTCCTTAGTCCTCTTCAAAAATGAAGGAATACAATCCCACAGTCTAAATGACTGACAGACTGAAATGTGTGACTCAGGCTAAACAGTCTCACAAGATAGAAGTTAGTGATATGTAAAAGAAGAGTTCTGCTTACCAGTTCATACTTTCAGAAAGGAATTATTACCAGTTAAAAAAAAATCAATGGCAAAAAAGCATTTGGCTTCTTACAGGGACCAGGCACATTAGATATACCACCACTGCAATACTCAGTTCCAGGTAACACACACCCAATAATCTCAGTGTGTCAAAGATAGTGACCATTTGGAAACCAAACCCAGTAAAATGATTGATGGACTCTTATCTGCTTAAAATTCTTTTCTGCTCAGAGACCAAGATAGGCATCATGCATTGGGACTTATGGATCCAGAATATTTTTTTTTTTTTCAGGCAATTGGGATTAAGTGACTTGCCCAGGGTCACACAGCTAGTAAGTGTCAAGTGTTAGGTCTGATGCCACATTTGAACTCAGGTCCTCCTGACTTCAGGGCTAGTGCTCTATCCACTGCACCACCTAGCTGCCACCAGAATAACTTTTAAAAGGAAAAATACATCAAATGCCCTCCTATGCATGTGCAGAAGTGTCATTTCTTCATTGTTGATCCCAAAATACACATGAAGTCAAATCTTATCAGTATTGTAGAAATATCAAAGAAAAAACCTCACTCCATGTCCTCTCTTTTGTTTCTGTGGTGATGTTTAGCTTACTGGGTTCCAGTTTTTCTATTCTGCAAATTATTTATACTGTGCAGGCTATTAATTCTGTTTTCACAATTATTATGCCTCTCTTGAACCATTCAGGAACATCCTGAACTATAGTTCCATGATCCCTAATGAATCCACAGGATCCTCTGTCTTGTCAGATGTTCATTCATTTTCCTTAGTCTTGCAATATTTATTTCTACATGTTTATTCTCATTTAGATGACCTGGAGTCAAGTTCTGTTATTAATATCCCCACCTGTTGATTTACATACTAGTGTTCAAGTTTTTGACCTGAATTTTGGATCTTTAGTAATATCGTCTCCTCCACATGCTCCATATTCCCTTTCCCTTTCATGGGACATCTCCCAAGGATTGGACACCAAAAGTTGTCTCAGCCTCCTCCTACACTTTTCAGAAGCCCAAATCTCAGCCCAAAGTGTCTTTTGATGGGATAGAATTGGACCAAGCTGCATAACAGTGACCTTTCCTTCAGGTCTTGCAGAACCCAGCCATGCACACATTGATGTCCTGTCCAATGCCTTCTGCTCCTTGATTCTTCTGAATTATTGCACTATAGAAGGGATGCTGCCCCCCTGATCAAAGTAGGCTTCCCATTTTCCTGTATCTCCACCTTCTTCAAACAAAATGTGGGCAGAGGCAGAATTGAATTCTGTTCTTTTGTTGCCTCAGAATGCAACAGAATTGTCCAGAAAAACAGAGCATAAGCTTTGCTAGATTGGGTAAGGGATTAAGAGATCAGGTTAGGGACTGGAATTCTCTGCAATGTTCATTGAGTTTTATCTCAATAAAGTTATTGATG